CTCCCTTTCACTCTCTCTAGAAATCAATGAAAAACTATCTTCAGGTGCAGATTAACAACAACAAAAAAGTACATGTGACATGTTTATAGGTGCCATATGGAGCTTATTTTTGATAAAATGGAAATTTCATTTTGATTAGGACTCAATGAGGTCAAATCTTCAACTTACAATTTTATGTGCCTGTTAAATGGAAGAAGTCTCCATAGAACAGCTTCTGGCTCTCTCTCTCTCCATGTTCATAACATAATATAGCCAGTATCCCTCATCATCACCTTATGAGCCAGATGAGTCACAGAGTGGGCACTTGAACTACTCATGGGAGGCAACTGGCAACCTAATTAAACAGAGAAGTGACTGATAACTACATCAGTATATCCCGCTAAATCCAAGCCAAATGTGTCTCCAACTCAACTTCCCCTTACCTGGTCCTGGTCCTGGTCCTGCAAAGTACTTCTGGCCACTCCAGTGCCACCAAACAAGATGGAAAATATAAATGGAGAGAAAGTAGTAGTGGAAAGAAAATGCTATCTTAAACAATTGCAACTAAAATATATAACTTTTGCAAAATTTACAAAAATATAAGTACATGTGAATATGTTGCTGGAGCCTCTCCTAGAACTTGGAAGGGGCCTGTGCAAGAGGAGGCCTAGACCTTAAGATTCATTATTTCCCGGTACGTCTGCCTCTGCAGATTCTTACGTACTCTGTGGTATAATTCAAATGCATATAGGGAAAAGATTTTTAGAACAATTATAATTTTTGTAGGCATAATTTAAAAAACATGAATATTGCTATAAATTATTGGAGAATATAGTTAGCAATGATATAAAGTGTCCTGAATATTTTAAGTTTGATATTTTCATGGTGATGGGGTGAGTCAAGGCAGAAATTTGGGATTCTGAGGAATGAGTTCTTGAGTAGCTAAATTAGTTTAACCAGCATTTTTAAGTTGATAAAAACAATATATCTTATTTGTGCATCATAATGTATAATAATGTTTACATGTGACTTACACTTTATTCTATTTAATTAAATAAAATTACTTATGCACTAAGATCATTTCCTGCCATAAAAAATGTTAAATATGTCAGTTGTATCCCCTTATCTTCTAATTAAATCTAACAAGTATGTCAGTTGTGTATCATTGTACCCAAAGTTATGCTAGATTGTCTAATTAAGGAAATACATCTTTTTAAAATTTATTTAAGATGTTAATGTAACTCATTGTCTGAAAAAATCTGTAAGGGGTAGCATTCAATCCAACAAATGCAAATTTAAGTTTCAAGGTATAACAGGCAGGAATTTTATACATATATATATATATATATATATATATATGTAATTTTCTTTATTTCTGAGGAGTTTACAGCTTTGATGCCACGATTTGAGAGTAAAAACCATATGTAAATAAGTACTCTGTTGTCTTAGTGAAAGGAGTTTTTAGGGGTAAAATAGGCAGGTTTAGGGAGTTTTAGGAATTAGGGGGCCCATGGGGGAGGGAGGCATAGTTGGTTGGGGACTGGGAGCTGCCAAAAGGCGCCACAGGGTAAGGGGAGAGGAACACACCCGTTCACAGAAGATAAGGGGAACGCACAGGGAGTAATGAAACAAAAGGGAAAAAAGAGGAAAACAGCTTTTCACAGGGGATAGAGAATTCTACCACTGAAGGGGGAGGAAACAGGGGGGCACCCACGTGGGCTTCGAGCTTTGGAGCTGCTCTAGGGACCAATCAGAAGGGAGTATCAGGACACAAAGAACTGCAGCCTTTATAAACCTTAGGAAAAAGGAGTTTAGTGGGCTACCCCCTTTGGGGCCCCCTCCCTATGTGGGAGTCTGTACTATTTTCCAATAAATTTTCAGCTTATCATATGCCATCTTTTGTCTGAGGCTTCATTCTTCGAATCCACCTGGACAAGAACCCAGGAAAGAAATCAGCTTCGCATCCTGCTCAGAGAAAAACCACGCGTTTCAGTTTGGTTCCACTAGGTATGTGGTAGAGAGGTAGCCATTTAGGGAAGGACAGTTACATGACCTAGAGTGGTCAGATAGAGAGCGAACTGAATTTCAATGAATGGAAAAAAGAGAGCTTCCCGGGAGAGTGAATGCTTTCTCATTCTCAAGCAGGGCAAATAGATTTTTAAAGTATTTTGAAATTTGCCATACAGATTGTGGAGTTTGCTGATGTTCTGTTAGGTAGGTTAAAAACGATTCCATAAGAGGTATTTTGCTTAGGTTGAGTTCCAAAACTCCTTTAGAAATCAGAGAACTCAGAATAAGGAAAACAATCTTGGAAAAGAGGAACAAAGTTGGTCAAGGTTGTGCTTATGCCTCCTTAGCCAATTAGCAGTGATGGCGAACCTTTTGAGCTTGGCGTGTCAGCATTTTGAAAAACCCTAACTTAACTCTGGTGCCGTGTCACATATAGAAATTTTTTGATATTTGCAACCATAGTAATACAAAGATTTATATTTTGATATTTATTTTATATATTTAAATGCCATTTAACAAAGAAAAATCAACCAAAAAAAAAATGCCGAAACCGGTTTGGCTCAGTGGATAGAGCATCAGCCTGTGGACTGAAGGGTCCCAGGTTCGATTCCAGTCAAGGGCATGTACCTTGGTTGCAGGCACATCCCCAGTAGGAGATGTGCAGGAGGCAGCTGATCGATGTTTCTCTCTCATCGATGTTTCTAGCTCTCTATCTCTCTCCTCTCCTCTCTCTAAAAAATCAATAAAATATATTTTTAAAAAAATAAATAAATAATAAAAAAAAATGATGAGTTCGTGTGTCACCTCTGACACGCCTGTCACAGGTTCGCCATCACTGAATTAGATCTTTAACTTCTGCCACTGAATGTGCATGGCTTGGGGGCAGCGGTACAATTCAGAGAGTTTATTTCCTTGTTCTCTCACCTTTTCAACCAGGAGCTAATTGCTTGGAGGTTCTTTCTCTGATTGCTCCTCAGAGGTGTTGCAAGATATACTTGAAAACAAAATCTTCTCCAACCCAGAGAACTCCAGAGAGGTAGTAAAGAGAACTGTTCTGTTACTAAATAAACATTAAACCAGAAGGTGGTGTGCATCAGGAGCAATCCATTGAGAGATGGCACAGGCAGAAAAAAAACACAAACCTCACCCTTTTGTATTGCCAAGCAGAGACCAACCATTGCATGCATGTTTCCAGGATTGCTGACAGGTCTGCTTTCTTTCTTTCATCTCCTTTGTTTATGTTTCAGAAGACACCAGTAGGCATCCTCGATCTAATTTAAATCTCCTGAAATGATCTGTTGTGGGTTTGGGGAGATCAGAGAAGTTCCCAGCAGAAGGGGTGACAGGCAACACTCCTGCCTGCTGGGCATTTCTGCCAGTTCATGTCACAGTCACGGCCATCTTGGACTTCAAGTCTGATTTGCTCATCATGGCCAACTTATTGGAAATCTTGTTCAAGGGATAAACATCCCATGATATGCATTTACCTTTTGACATTAAAAAGAATCTTCCAATTGGAATTGCCTCTGGACATACAAGCTATGTGTGGGACAGGTTGTTTCTACTTAATCGTTTGCAATGCAGTTTACCTGTGAACCTGGAGCATCAGAATCCCACCCCCTCCATGTGTGAGGCTAAAATGCAGATTCCTGGACCTCACTCCAGACCCACTGAATTAGAATTTGGTGGAAAGAGATGGTGCCCAGGGGTCTGCAAGTTTCATACATTCTCCAGATGATTCTTAGAACTCAGGTTTGAAAACCACCATGCTAATGAGTTGAGAATAATTCCTCTCTAATTATCCTGCTGAAAGACAAGGTAGGTCAGCACAACTTAGTGGGGCGAATCTGACATCACTTTGCTGAAAACAAAATGTGCTTCACCAGATCATTTGCCTTACTGTAAGGAAAGAATCCTGACAGTAACTTCATTTAAATATCTTCCTCCTTAATTTCTGTTCTTGAATTCATTTTTGAATTATTGTGAAAAGTCAAATGATTTGTGGAATTTCTGCTTATATTAAATTGCTATGTAATTAAAAGGAATAGATAAAGTCATTTGATTCCCTTTTTAATGTTCCAAAGTGCATACTAGCTTAATAATTTAATTTAGTGTCAAATGGAGACACAGTATGTAATAATTTCTCTGATTACAAACTATTATCTCCCTCACCAAAAAACAAGAAAAGAAAAAAAGAAACCCCTCACACTATAAATATTTTAAAAGTCTTTTATTTGATGGTCATTGTTCATACATCCCTTTAATAAATTTTAATCTATTAAATTATCAATATATTTTTATTGTAGTAAATACACATAACAAAACTACCATCTTAATAATTTTTAAGTGTACAATTCAGTAGTGTTAAATATATTCACTTGATTGAGCAACCAATCTCCAGAACTTTTTCATCTTCCCAAACTAAAACTTTGTCCCCATTAAACAACTCCCCACTTCTCTCCCTCCCCCAGGCACTGGTCACCACCCCATTCTGCTTTCTGTGTCTATGAATCTGACTACTCTAGATACCTCTTATAAGTAGACTCAGAGTGTACTTGTCTTTTTGTGACTGGCTTCTTTCATTTAGCATATTGTCCTCAAGGTTTTTCCATGTAGTAGCATGTGTCAGAATTTCCTTTTCTTTAAGGAAGTGAATACTATTCCATTATATGTATCTATACCACATTTTAATTATCCACTGATGCATCAATGAATACTTTGACTGCTTCTATATTTTTACTGTTGTGAATGAAGCTGTTATGAACATGGCTATACAAATATCACCACGAGACCCTGCATTCACGTTTTTTGGATGTGTATCCAGAAGTGGGATTGTTGGATCATATGGTAATTCTATTTTTAAAATTTTGAAGAACCGCAATTCTGTTTTCCGTAGTGTCTGTACCATTTTACATTCCCACCAACATTGAACAAGGGTTCCAGTTTCTCTACAACCTTACCCACACTTGTTATTTTCAAAGATCACCAATATTTTGATTTATTCTTTTTAGGGATCTTCACCAGCAACAGGTTTTGTTGAGATAAGAGTGCTGGAACAAGGTGACGTTTTTGTAAGTGTTTTTAGTTTATTACAATTCATTTATATTTTAAATTTTATAGGTTTATTTAAATACATACATAGAATCACACAGAATTCATGTTTTTTTAATCACACATGGTCTATAATATAGCCAATCATGATTTACATTGAACTAAAACTGAAAGCACTATAAAGTGATTTATATAGTGGTTTACAGTTTATGACAGATCTTCATGTTTTCTTATAATATCCTCATACTAATATCCTCAGCTGTAGCCTTCCTCAAATGTAAATCTGACCCCTTTACTCTAATTTAAGGGGTTTTAATAATTTTCCAATGCCTGTAGACTAAAATTAAACCTCCTCATAATGGCAAACCATCTGCTCTATCCTCATCTTATTGCATCCTCTTCCTACCTTACATCTCAGCCAACTCAAATTGCATGTAATTTGCTGACTACCACACCACATCGGACCTTTGGGTATTTATTTATGTGGTTGCTTCTGGCTGGAACATCCTTCCCAACATCACACCCCAGATTCATTGAGAAAAATTGCTCATGCTTTACCAAGACTTAGCTCAAGTGTCACCTTTTCCATGATGCCTGTCCTCTCTCTCCCATGGTCTCCGTGAGGCGTCCTTCCCTTCTACCTCTCACCAAGTGGACGTGACCTTTCCTTTCTGCCCACTGCAGCCAGGATAGGTATTCTTTACAGCACCCACCACATTTTCCAACATTGCTTTATATTCACGTCTGTCTCTCTTTCTAGACTGTGGGCTCCTTGAGGGCAGACTTTCAGTCTAGTTTAACTTTAACATGTCTCCAGTGACTGGCACTTACAAGGCACTTAATAAACATATATTGAATAGATAATTTAATAAATGGATGGTTGAATGGGTAGATGGATGAATGGATGGGTGGGTGAGTTGATGGTTGAACAGCATAGGAGAGATATTAGTGCTCCTACAAGATTAAAACTGATTAAATAAACTGCCCAAGATTATACTATAGTAATTTGAGGGCTAAAAATCAAATTCAGATCTTCTAACCTAGTGCTTTTTTCTCTACACAGTATTACCTTTTAAATTTAAAATTATAAATTAAAAACATTGCATAAGAGGACAATAATACATTTATTTAAGTGATTGAGTGTTTTTAAATAGGTGGATAAACCTAATCTGACTCCTTCAACACATTTAATTAGGTTTCTGTTTCCTGATGTCCCTGCCTTATCTCATTTATGAAAGGTTTCCTTAAAATTCAATCAAGCCTCCATATCATTTTTTTAATAAAGTTTTAATATTAATAGCCAAGAAGTTAAAAACATTTGCAGATTTTTCCTTTAAAGTGTATCTCACAATGTTTTTTTCTCATCCCATGTTTCCCATGGGCATCCCAGTAGTAATGAAAATAGCACGGACATTTGACCCGGAGACACTGGCTTGCATTGGCTTTTTGGGACGGTCATGCCCTAGTTATGTGACCTTATCCAAGTCACCTCAGCTGTATGAGCCTCAGTTTCCTCACCTACAAAATGAAAATAATTATATCCACTTCATAGCATTGCTGTGAGGATTAAGTGGGAGAATATATGCCCAGTGCCTGGTACATATTAGTTATGCAAAACATGTCAGTTCCCTCCTAACATGAAATTAGTTCCTTTAAAAAAATAAATTTTTGTGTGTTTTTTTCAGAATGCAATTAGATCAATTCAAAAAGCAGGTCTTTTTGTTCCAAAGAAGACTAAGGTTTCTTGAAGGCAAAGATCACATCTCATTTACCTTTCTCACAGTCTCACACACATTTTAAATAAATATTTCCTGATTGTTAATCATTTCCATCACACACGTATAGAATACATTTGTTGTTGTTGTTGTTGTTTGCTTGTTTTAATCCTCACCCCAGGATATTTTTCCATTGATTTTTTTTTTTTTTTTTTTTTTTTTTTTAGAGAGAGAGTGGAGGAGAGAGGAAAAGACAGAGAGACATGTCTATGTGAGAGAAACACATTGATTGGTTGCCTCCTGCAGGAGCCCCTACCAGGGCCCGGTCCGGGGAGGAGCCTGCAACCGAGGTACATGCTCTGACCGAAATTGAAACCGGGACCTTTCAGTCCACAGGCCGATGCTCTATCCACTGAGTCAAAACTGCTAGGGCTATAATATGTTTTTAAAAATTGTTTTAGACAGAGGAAGAGAGAGAGAGAGAGAGAGAGAGAGAGAGAGAGAGAAAGAGAAACATCAATGTGCTGTTCCACTTATTATTTTTTAATTGATTTTTAGAGAGGAAGGGAGAAGGAGAGAGTAAGAGAAACCTTGATGTGAAAGTGAAACATTGATTGGCTGCCAGGGTTCAAGCCCACAACTGGGGCATGTGCCCTGACTGGGAATTGAACCAGCAACCTTTCGATGCATGGGATGACAACCAACTAACTGAACCACTCCAGCCAGGGCTGTTGTCCCACTTATTTATGCATTCATTTGTTGCTTATTATATGTGCCATGATGGGAGATCAAACCCACAACCTTGGCATAGTAGGATGGTGCTCTAACCAACTGAGCTACCCTGCCAGGGCCTACAGTACTTTTCAGTAACTTTTATGGATTATCACTTACTATATACTTCAAAAGAGGAAATGCCTTCATTTCTAGCACTTCGGTGGTCACCAGTGAAGGAAGATGACTGATTATGGCCTTTGCAAGTTGTCACTGTGCCGTGTCTTTATGGATGGGTTCAGGTGGAGAATCAGAAACAAAGCTCACTTGGCCTCACATTATCTGGCTTTTTATACGGACTCCATTCTTGGCGAGCTCTGGATGAATGAGGCTTAAGATTACATTGCAGTCTTCTCAGAACTTGCTATTAGAAGTCTAATATATATTGTACTTAATTTTTTTTATTTTGCAAATATGTAATTAAGACAATAATTTTAATGAATATTTACATGTTCCCTCATAGCCAAGGCAACTATTAATTTGCTCTCTTGAACAAAAACTATTCTGTCCTACATGTCCCAGCTCAAGTCCCACTACCCCCAAAGTACTAATCATTCGTTTTTGCCATTAGGGAAATTTCTTAAAGCTTAACAAAAATAGATCATGTGCCTTTGATATGTTTAAGTTTTAACTGGTGGTGTGGCTCATTCCTTATGAATATATGATTCTCAGCTACATATTCATTTAGAATCCTGTAAACACAATTTAGAATCCCATTTTATTTGACTCCTGAGAACCATGCGTAGGTCCACTGCTACAGAAGAATTAATAAAAACACAAGCCCATGTTTCTGACTTGACTCTTCTGGTCTCTTGCTTAATTTAACTGATAACGAGGTACTTATCATTTTTAGTGACTGAGGTTCTCTTACAATTTTAGGGGTTGGCAGAAGCATTGGACAATTCTTGTGATCTTCAGGTGTACCTGGTAAGAGCATGGACTTTTTCCAGAGAGGTCCCTGAATCATTCTTAGCAAAGTCATATGCTTTGTCCATTTGGTGGGGAGCTCACAGACAAAACGGTTTCTAGCAGCGTTCCACAAGGTCAAAGAGGACCATGTCCTCATGAGAATTAAAAAACTTCAGGTTAGGAATTAGTAAAACAATTTAAATGGAACTAAATTTTAAGAACGTGTATTGTAATTTTGTTTGGTCTCGTTGGTTGTTTTTGTTTTCGTTTTGAAGAGTACATACATTTTTTTCATCTGCCATTCTCCACGTCAGGATTTATGCCGTGTCAACAGAAATCTTTAAAAGACTTGGGCTTTTCTCTCACTTTTTGAGAGTCATAAAAAGTTTTGAAATAATATAAAGGAACAGTATTTACTCAGAGTGGTTTTGAAACTCACATAACCAGAGCCTGGCCTGTGGAATCCATACAGAATTAGCCTGCGGAGCTGTTTGCTTGAGGCCAGCCTCTGCCTGCCGGAGCAGGCAGCTGCAATGGAGACGTTTGTATTGGAGCAGTGGAACAACGTTAGAAACAAAGTCACTAACATAACGAGAGACTGCCCTTCAGGCATATCCAACTTGGAATAGCCTGTTTTCCTGTTTAAAATCCTGGAGGCTTCTAATTCACTCCCGCCCTGAAAGTGTTTAAAAGGCCCAAATGTCTGCTACATTGGCGTTGGGCAATAGCAATTTTTAAAAGGATCCAAACTGCAAAACCAAAAGAAATAACCCTGCTGAACCTTGGGAGAGACAGAAATTTTGAACAGTTGAAGGGAGAATGAAGTCTAATGTGAGAAAGGGATCCGTCTCTTGTTCACAACTCTGTCCCTGGCACATAGGGACCCATGTAAAACATAGAAGAGGTCAGAGGCAGAGCACCTGACCCAACAGAAGAAGAGGAAGATCTGGACTAGGACCAGAAGAGAGGCACAGAACAGTGTGTTACGGAGGGAGATTAACAGTTAACATCAGACTTACATTCCATGCTACCTGAAAATTGTTATATAACTACCTATCTTATGTATAAACTATGCATAGCTTATCCCTTGAGGGTTCATGTTTTCTTAACTAACTCTTTATAGTCCTTACGCAGAGTCCCCTAGGGCAGTGGTCGGCAAACTCATTAGTCAACAGAGCCAAATATCAACAGTACAATGATTGAAATTTCTTTTCAGAGCCAAATTTTTTAAACTGAAACTATATAGGTAGGTACATTGTTATTAACTTAATTAGGGTACTCCTAATGCTTAGGAAGAGCCACACTCAAGGGGCCAAAGAGCCGCATGTGGCTCGTGAGCCGCGGTTTCCCCGCCATGGCCCTAGGGCTTTGGTAAGGAGGGATGTCAGGATTACATGGACCCCAATGGCTTTCCCAGTTGCCATCCTGGTCTCCAGGTTGGGTAGACAGTCAGCAGCTCTTCCAGTGCACAGCATATCCCTGGGGATTGATTAGGCCCTTGGGTGGGGTTGAGAGGCACATTAACCCTTTCAAATCCATGTTTGACCCTCAGCTACATTTCCCTTGTGAATGAAACAACTTCAAACAAATAAATATGTTTATTCTCTCTTCTAGATCAGTGAAGGAGTGGAGTGCATTTTTATTCCCAAAAGCTTGTTTCTAGCAGAAGCCAGCCCTGAATGCAGGAGAACTGCTGTAGAGCTGGTGTGTGCATACCCCGCAGAGGAGGACATTAGGGAGTGCCTGGCGGAGCAGCAAGTGTGGAATGAGTACAAGGCCAGAGTCTTGGCTCAGCAGCTGAAGACAGGAAGCTGACGCCCTGGCTCAGCTCATTTTTATTTTTATAATGAAAAATCTTAAAAGAGATTGAAAGACACAACTGGAAGGAAATTTTAATACGCGCTTAGAAGTGCCCCTGCCGAGGTCAGGGCCTGGCGTTTGTTTATTGCTTAAATAAATGATGCCACACCCTAACTTGCTCACAGCTCCAGCTGGTAACTTCCTCCTACTGGAAAACATAATTGAAACTTGATAAGATATACTGCTGTTTGTCACTGAAAAGTGTGTTTAAGATTTAGTTAGTAGAGTGGTATCATTTCACACTGGAAAATTTTCAGCTACTGACTATGCTGAAAATTTACTTTCATTCTCAAAGGCCTAAATTCTAAGCCTTATTGAAATATCCAGTGTCATTCATGCTTTGCTTTTATTCTATATTTACAATATGATTTAATTTTATTTCATTTAATTTGTGTTTTATCTTTGGGGTAGTCCTTTAATCTCTTCACATTGTTTTACCCACCTGAAATGTGAAGATAACAATATTTATGGTTTCGGGTTGTTATAAGGATTAAGTGAATTGTGCACACAAGGCATTTAGTACAGAGCCTGGCACACAGTACGTGCTCAATACATTTTAAGCTTTTGTTCATTCAACAATATTCTTTCAACAAATATTTATTGAAAAACTTGCTGTTGTTCTTATTATGTTTTTCTTTGATGACTGATAAATAATTTAATCCTAGGAAGAAAACACTGGAAATACAGGAATAGTAAAAATTGTAATACATAGACACAGACGAAACAAAATGATATCTGAGCTTCACTTCAAAATAACTTGCAGGGGAAATACGTAGGGGTGTAGAAGAAACAAGATTGTTGAAGCTGAGTGATGGGTACATGAAGTTTCATTATACTCTCCTCTTTTTTGTATATGTTTGAAGTTTTCCATAATACAGAGTTTAAAAAAAGAATGAAGACACGCAGCAAATTAACCACTCTCAAATGGCTAGGAAATGTCACATTTCCTCAGAGTTCGGTTATTTAATTGGTTCTAAAAATAGTAGAATGAGACAATGATCTTAATATTCTGACAGTCACAGAAGTCATCTTCCTTTACCTTTACCATTAATTTGTCAGCCACTTTCCACATTTTTTTTTTTTTTACTAATGAGCCTTAACACACATTGTGTCTAGGTATTAACCCACTGGCTATGACTGAATAGTTTATATCATGCTTATTCTTTAATATAGGCATTTATAAAATGACATTTATAAATGTGACTCTTAAGTCTACTAATCAGCTTAGGCCTTAAGTGATGGGAACCCAAACATTTTCAATGCAATGAAGCCAGTAGTGTTTAAATGTGTATTAGGAATGGCTATATTCTGAGAGCTGAACAGCAAAATTTTCTTGAATTTTTATAATTTTACTGTATTGCTTTGATATGAAGAAACAAGTCTAAACAATAGAGAAGTTGTAAAGTTGAATAGTTTCTAAGTTAGAGGACTCTGAACTGTTTTAGTGGGCCTCTGGACCTCAGCCTTCAAATGACTTTCAGATGAGCAGACTCTTGCTCCACCCTTCCCACTTCCTCCAACATCTTCCTCCATTAACTATCCTCTCTTCCAATTGCATCTTCATTCTCTCTCCATGTTCTTACATTGTATGGTTTTGGGATAGTGTGGTCTGCTGATATTTCTTATCTTAAAATACTACATAATTCTTCCCAGGCACAAAGCTCTTGCAGATGCACAAGAAGAGGGCAAGAGTACATGCTCTAGGTCAGTGATGGCGAACCTTTTGAGCTCGGCGTGCCAGCATTTTGAAAAACCCTCACTTAACTCTGGTGCCGTGTCACATATAGAAATTTTTTGATATTCGCAACCATAGTAAAACAAAGACTATATTTTTGATATTTATTTTATATATTTAAATGCCATTTAACAAAGAAAAATCAACCAAAAAAATGAGTTCGCGTGTCACCTCTGACATGCATGTCATAGGTTCGCCATCACTGCTCCAGGTGTTAAGACAATGTGGACAGAGAAAGCAGTGACTGCCCAATGTCCCAAGGACAGAGGCCATGAACAGTGGGACTAATTTGCTTTCAAGGTAATTTTTTTTTACATAGCTACATCCAGGCAGCATGCTCCAAGTTAAATGAGAGCAGAAATATCCTATATAATAAAAGCTTAATATGCTAAGTGTCCGGTCATCCGGTCAAGCAATCAAGGTGTAATAGGCTAATGATATGCTAAGGTCACTGAACCGCTCACGATGACATGCACTGACCACCAGGGGGAAGACACTCTGACCGGAAGGTGAGCTTGCTGCAGGGGTCTGGCTGATCGGAACTGAGCGAGTTGTGTCAGACATGCCCTGAAGCCCTCACGTGGTCCCTCCCCAGCTGGCCAACCTCCTGAGTCCCTCCCCACCCCCGATCTTGCATTGGTGAGGTCCCTCGGCCTGGCCTGCACCCTCTCGCAATCCAGGACCTGTTGGGGATGTCAGAGAGCTGGTTTCGGCCCGATCCCTCAGGCCAGGCCGAGGGACCCCACTCCATTCTGGCTACCTCTCCTGATAGAAGATGCTGCAAGTCTGACTTAATTCTTTCACCCGAGGTACATGGTTTGAGAATGCCAAAGTTAAAATTTTAAAAGCAGTAGATTCTAAGTGGAGGCTTTTATGCCTGGCAAAATCTTGGAAAAGGGGAATTAGAATTTTTCTCATTTTTTCCCCTTATATATTGGAACTATTTGGAAGGACTTAGTGGAAACAAACTCAATTCGGCTTTGTTAAAAGTGTACTTCGTAATTATTGAGAAATGTTCATCTGATTCACTGGACTGGTTTCTTATTTTTGTTCTCGCAGCTGCTTTCCAGAAGCTATTAACTTAATTCTCCTTCTCTCATTCTCTGTTTATTACACTACTAGAGTCCCAGTGCATGAATTTGTGCACAGGTGGGGTCCAGCCGGCCTGGCCCCAATCGAGGCAGATTGGGGCTGGACCTGTTGGGAGGAGGAGACCACGGGAAGTTGGCCAGCTGGCTCGCCCTGATCAGGGCCCAATCAGGGCCAGGCTTGCAGGGGGGAGGGGCCACAGGCAATTGGTCGGCGAGCCCTGCCCCCAATTGGGGTGGGGTGGGCCAATTGGGGGTCAGCGGCTGGGGGAGGGGCTGTGGGCCGTTGGCCAGCCAGTCCCACCCCCGATTGGTGTGGAGGGTGCAGTTGGGGGTAGAGCTGGATGGGGGGAGGGGCTTCAGTTGGTGGGCCGGCCAGCCCCACCCCGAATGGGGTGGGAGGCTTTGATGGGGGCCAGCAGCCTAAGGGAGGGACCATGGGTGGTTGGCTGGCTGGCTCTGCCCCTGATCGGAGTGGGGGGACTGATTGGGGGGCAAGCTGGCTCGGGGGAGGGGCTGCAGGAGGTTGGCCAGCTGGCCCCGCCACCTATTGGGGTAGGGGTGGGCGATCAGGTGTAGGCTGGCCAGGGGGAGGGTCTGTGGGCCGATAGGGGTGGGGTGGGCCGATCAGAGACTGGCCGGCTGGAGGGAAGGGCCTCAGGGGGTTGGCTGGCTGCCCTGCCTTCAATCGGGGTGGGAGAGACCAATCAGGGGTGGGGCCATGGGAGGCTGGGCCCACCCCCAGATCAGGCCTGTTCGCTGGTCACAGTGGGCGTCATAGCGACCAGTCATTCTGGTCATTATGGTGTTCCAGTCGCTGGCTTTTTATATATATAGATGACTCGCCAAAAGTAAGTAATTCTAATATTCAACATCAATAATATGTATTTAGTAAAATTAGATATGACTGCAGTTTACGATCGAAACTTGGTCCAATAGTGGGAAGAGATTAACCAAAGAAATTATATGCATATATGTATAACCTATGGATACAGACAATAGTGAGGTGAAGACTTGTAGGGGGAGGGGGGGGGTATGGGGTAGAGGTGTCAATGGAGGAAAAAAGGGGACATCTGCAATACTTTCAATAATAAAAATAAAATTTTAAAAAAGAATGCCTTACATTTTCACTTTTTGTTGCTTTGTCTTATGGTACTAAATGGATTTGCTGCATTTAATCACTAGCTCTTAGAATTGAAAGGTGCCTCACGCACCAGTGCAGGAACTGATTCAGTACTTGTCCTCTGCACCCAGCTCCCGGAACATAGTACATGCTCAGCAAACATTTGCTAAATAGCATTACCTGGTTCAATCTTTCCACCCAGTGCAGGAATATAGGGTGTCCCAAAAAATGTATACATACTTTGAATAATTATAAAGGCAGTGTTTATTAAAATACATTTCATTTTCAAAATGTAATAGAATCAGCTTTTAAAGTGTGTATACATTTTTTGGGGGACACCCTGAATTTTCAATCATTTTCCCCAAAAGATGGTTCTTCACATCTTCAGCTTGAACCTTTCCAGTTCCAGGAACTCTCTTTCTTCCTCCTTCTTTCCTTCTCCCCCTCCCCTGCTTCCTTCAGTAGATATATGTTGAGTCCTTACTATGTGCAGGATCTGATATATTTTGAGTAAAATATGTTCCCTGCTTTCATGGAGTTTACAGATTAGGAGAGGAGACAAACATTACCTGAAGGGCCCAAAAAGAAAAGTGAAGGCAGGACTCTGATAAGTGCAGAGGACAAAAAGGCCTCTTCCAGGAGGTCAGGACAGATTCCATGAAGACGGGAAAACTGAGATGAGTAAGACTGGGTTTGGTATAGAAAAGAAGAAAGGCCACCAGGCAGAAGGACCTGCATGTTCAAGACCGGGAGGGGGAAGAAGCCTGTGTACACAGGGACTGAGAGAAGGTCGGTATGGCTGCAGCCAGCTGGGTACAAGCTGGAACTGGACACCCACAAGAGGCCAGTCCGCAAAGGGCCTGTAAACCCTGCTCAGGAACTTGGACTTTATCCTAAGATAAAGGAGGTGGCATGATCAAATTTGCATCCCACTCACTGCTAGGGGTGTGTGTGTGTGTGTGTGTGTGTGTGTGTGTGTGTGTGTGTGTGTGAATGTTCTTCCTTCTAT